GAGATTCTTCGTCTAAATATTAGCTCCCTGAGTCCTCCGTAGCCCCAGAGCCTTTAATCACTGCGCTCCCTTAATAGAGATGACACATTTGTGTCATTTCTGTTCCTCCAAGATTCGTGCACCTAAGTCGTATCCCTTCAAACAAAGCAGAGCACAGCTCCGATGATCAAGCGTTCATTTAACAAACGCTCACTGAGTACCTAACTGGGTGCCTGCTCTTGAGCTGGGCGCAAAAGGTCCTCAGTTAGGCCTACAGACCCGCAGGGAAATAAGAAAACAGCAGCATCCACGGTGCCAGGTGATGCATGCAAAGATGAACCGAGGAAAGCACCAGAGAGAGGACTCCCAACGAGGGTGGTCAGGGAGGGCTTCCCGGAAGAGGCTACATCTCGATGCGTAGGCCTGTGCCAGGCAAATGCATGGGAAGGCACAGCCTGTCCAAAGCCCCCAGGGCAAGAGAGCACATTCTTACAGATTCTTGGAACTGCCACAAGTATGTGCCGCCCGGTGGAGTGCACGCGGGGGAGTGGGGAGTGAGTGCAGTGTCCGGGCACATGTGGGGGAGGGGAGAGCACGGAGTGTGACAGGGCGCAGGGGAGGAGGGCGGCGGGTATCCGGGAGATTGTCAGATTTTAGCCTCTCCCACTTGCTAACTCCATGAACTTGGGTGCATAACAGCCGCGGGAAAGAACTTAGACTCTTTCCCCCGCTTATAAATTGGGGGTCAGGAGATCTGGGGGCTGCAGAGGTAGCATCTTATGTGTAAGGGCCCAGGCGTACTTGCTGCAAATCTCCGGGCAAGTTGGCTTCTCTGTCTTCCCTTCTGTAAAACGGGGGTGGAAACACCCGTCTCACAGGGTTAAAGTGAGGCCTAAATGAGCCCGTGCATCGCGTGGTACATGGTGGCTTTTATTCATTAGTGTGTTTTTTTGGGTTTTGTTTCTTTGCTTGTTTGTTTTGTTAATCCTCGCCCGAGGATATTTTTCCATCGATTTTTAGGGAGGGTGGAAGAGACAGAGAGAAACATCGATGTGAGAGAAACACATCGATTGCTTGCCTCCTACAAAGGTCCTGACTAGGGTCCGGGCCAGGGAGGAACCTACAACTGAGGTCCAAGCCCTTGACAAGAATTGAACTCAGGCCGAAACCGGTTTGGCTCAGTGGATAGAGCGTCAGCCTGCGGACTGAAAGGTCCCAGGTTCGATTCCGGTCAAGGGCATGTACCTGGGTTGCGGGCACATCCCCAGTACGAGATGTGCAGGAGGCAGCTGGTCGATGTTTCTCTCTCATCGATGTTTCTAACTATCTCTCTCTCCCTTCCTCTCTGTAAAAAATCAATAAAATATATTAAAAAAAAAAAAAAAAAGAATCGAACTCAGGACCCTTAGGGTCCCCCAGGCCGACACTCTATCCCCTGAGCCAAACCTGCTCGGGCTATTCATTAGTTTTACAAATCAGGGAGGTGCCTTAACCACCTACAAATGAGATTCTGATCCGAATGACTCACCGTGCCAGAAACTCGATGCCAGAAAAGCTGTGGAGAAACATTCATTGAAAGATGCCCTGTGTCCCAACAGGTGGCCTGGATTGGGGACACCTCCGTCTCATCAAGGTGGCCCAGGCGTCATCTCAGGAGCATGACTGGAATGTGGAGACAGGCTACAAAGGCCAGGCCTCAGCAGGTCCAGGGGTCCCCAAAGGTGTGGACGGAGTCGGCGAAGAAGGAATGACACGGAGACAGCCTTCAGTTGATCAGCAGCCTAGTCAGGACCTCTAGCCAGGATCTCCAGCCAAGTTCTGGTTAGGATCTGATGTTTATTGTCTTGTTACATCTGTATTTATACCAGTCGATTTTAATCCTGTCAATTTCTATTGCAAAGGTTAGGGCGTTTCTTATCTCCATTCCAGGGAGTAAAGATTATGTAGCTTAAGCGTGATTGTTTGTAGTTAAAGTGATTAACTACCCGCCTGGCACTTAGTTAAGGGGTTGTATCCCCTCCCTAACCTCAGGGAAAAATCCCCACCTGGGGAAACAACCTTTCTCGGAGAGGTGACCTTGGTTAAAACACATGGTGCTAAGGAGAGCAAACATATTAAGAACAATATGCTATATATGCCAGGTCCCTTGAAACATATGCTGTGCAGATGTTTCTTTCCTGCGGCGACTGTGTCAAGCAGCAAGGATGGACCGGCTTCCGGCAGGACGCCTAGGAATCAGAAGAGAGTGGCCCCTGGGAGCAGGTACGGGGCTGAGTTTGCTCAGTGGAGAGAGAAGCGGACACAGACGTTCACACTGTGGAGGAGGGAGGGGCATGAGGGATTATAGACTCCTTGGCAGCCTGATTTCAATCTTAGTTCTTTGCTTGGGTTCCTCATTCTCTAAGCAACATGCAGATGAACTTGACACCAGCTAAGGGCCCCCTGGACCCAGGCGCACCAGTGTTCCAGTTTCTGCATTGTACACATTTTACGCTTCTGTTATTTCTCTAGGACACAAGTTCGTTGTGAAATAGTTTGAAAATCAGCTAAGCAGAACTGAAAAGGACACCCCCGTGGAGCCATTACACATCCTTGGACGTTTTCTATCCACGTATTTACGTGGAAATGCACATAATAATAAAACTATACAAAGTAAATATTGTTGCCCGGCCGACGTGGCTCAGGGGTGGAGCGTCGACCTATGACCCAGGAGGTCACGGTTCGATTCCCAGTCGGGGCACATGTCCGGGTTGCGGGCTCGGTCCCCCACTGTGGGGCGTGCAGGAGGCAGCCGATCCATGATTCTCTCTCAGCAATGATGTTTCTACCTCTCTCTCCCTCTCCCTTCCTCTCTGAAATCAATAAAATAGATAGTAGAAAAAATTTAAATGGTTAAACAAATGAGCGGCTATACATGTAAATGTTACTTTTACAAAAATGACATAACCCTATACCTACTGAATTGCAACCACTTTCGCCCAGTGATATGTCACAGGTATCTTTCCCTCTCTGTAAACATCCACATTATCATTCTTTTTAAAAATATATATATTTTATTGATTTTTTTTTATAGAGAGGAAAGGAAAGGGATAGAGAGTTAGAAACATCGATGAGAGAGAAACATCGATCAGCTGCCTCCTGCACACCTCCTACTGGGGATGTGCCCGCAACCAAGGTACATGCCCTTGACCGGAATCGCACCCTGGACCCCTCATTCCACAGGCCGACGCTCTATCCACCAAGCCAAACCGGTTAAGGCAGTGGTTCTCAACCTTCTGGCCCTTTAAATACAGTTCCTCATGTTGTGACCCAACCATAAAATTATTTTCGTGGCTACTTCATCACTGTCATGTTGCTACTGTGATGAATCGTCATGTCAATATCTGATAGGCAGGATGGTCTTAGGCGACCCCTGTGAAAGGGTCCTTCGACCGCCAAAGGGGTCGCGACCCACAGGTTGAGAACCGCTGGGTTAAGGCCACATTATCATTCTTCATGGGTGATATTATTCCATGGCACGCACATGTCGGAATTTATCTAAATAAATTGTTGTACTTGTGGGACGTTTCCAGTTTTTCACTTTTATGGACCCACTGTGATAAACATACAGTCACCTTTGTGCCAGGTGGATGTCATATTCTTTTTTGTTTTTTTTCAAGTATATTTTATTGATTTTTCACAGAGAGGAAGGGAGAGGGATAGAGTTAGAAACATCGATGAGAGAGAAACATCGATCAGCTGCCTCCTGCACACCCCCTATTGGGGATGTGCCCGCAACCAAGGTACATGCCCTTGACCGGAGTCGAACCTGGGACCCTTGAGTCCGCAGGCCGACGCTCTATCCACTGAGCCAAACCGGTTAGGGCTGGATGTCATATTCTAACCATCATTTTACAGATGAGGAGACTGAGCCACAGAAAACTAAACTGTGGTGTCACCAAGCCAGAATTCACAGCCAGTTCCAGTTGGGCGTTCCTTCAGCATCTTTGTTTTTTCTTTCCATTAGAGTGACAGTCCTCTTTTCCTCCCCATTATCTTTTTTTTATTATTATTAATTTCAGAGATGAAGGAGAGATAGAAACATCAATGATGAGAGAGAATCATGGATCGGCTGCCTCCTGCACGCCCCACACTGGGGATTGAGCCCGCAACCCCGGGCATGTGCCCTTGACCAGAATCGAACCCGGGACCCTTCAGTCCGCAGGCCGACGCTCTATCCACTGAGCCAAGCCAGCGAGGGCCTCATTGTCTTTTTCTCTTACAGGTGGCCGCCCTGGGACACCCTGTCTGGGCAGGTGACCCACTTCCTTCTCTGACATCTTTTTAACTTCTCTAATGTCCACTGATGCCCTGGCATTCAGAGGAATAAAGGCAGGTAATAGGACATTAATGCATGAGGGCGTATTGCATACATTGTGAACCTGGTGCAGACGTTAGGCCTAAAGTCACGGTCAGGCGCCACCAAGGTTTAGCCAAATCCCCTGGCCAGCTCAAACCCAGGAAGGGAGCCCCCCGATTCATACTAGAGAGAGAGAAATGGGCTGTTCTGACGAGAAGCAGTCTACGTAGGTCTCCCTGGGCATCTCAGAAGCCCGGAAGTTGTCCCCCTCGCCCTCCCCCACCCCCAGAGCTGGAATGGGAAGGAAGGTTTGCTATTATAAGGTTTATTAATCCTCAGGATTTCCCCAGGGGGGCGGGGGTGAGCATGCATTCATGCCGCAGACTTTCCAGGATGTTTCATATCCATCTCTGGAAATCCGGGGAATCTTGAAAGCTGAGAATAGGGGATGAGACACCGCTCTTCAGCGTCTCAATTGATGTGTTCACCCGAGTCACTGCTGGGAGATTAGCAGGTGATTATAAAGATCTGTTTCTCTCATTGACAGACCAGACAGACATTTTAAGAATCACCGGTGGCTCCTGCAATAGTTCATGTCCCACATTTCGTACTAAATCTCCCAACTGGAATCGGCCAGTGGAAAGGGCAGGACCCCAGGGTTGAACTAAGAGGGACTGCAGAAAGCAGCTATTTCACAGGTAGCTTTCCCTCTCTAGAAACATTCACATTAATCTTATTTTTTTATTAATTTTTTAAAAAATATATTTTATTGCTTTTTTACAGAGAGGAAGGGAGAGGGATAGAGAGTTAGAAACATCGATGAGAGAGAAACATCGATCAGCTGCCTCCTGCACACACCCTACTGGGGATGTGCCCGCAACCAAGGTACATGCCCTTGACCGGAATCGAACCCAGGACCCTTCAGTCCGCAGGCTGACACTCTATCCACTGAGCCAAACCAGTCAGGGCTATTAATTAATTTTTTAAAAATATATATTTTTATTGATTTCAGAGAGGAAAGGAGAGGGAGAGAGAGGTAGAAACATCAATGATGAGAGAGAATCATGGATCGGCTGCCTCCTGCACGCCCCCTACTGGGATCAAGCCCACAACCCGGGCATGGGCCCTGACCAGGAATGGAACCCTGACCACCTGCTTCATATGTTGATGCTCAACCACAGCCACACCAGCCGGGCCACATGATAATAAAAATATATTAAAAAGACAAATATACTCATTATAGAAATTTGGCAAATATGCTAGGGAAGAAAGAAGAAAATAAAAATCACTTATAATTCAAAAAAACAGAAATAACTTTTAACTTGTTTGTATTTCCTTCTAAGTGTTTTATATATTTTTTTCATGATAAATATACAAACATACACATAATTGTACAAAAACAGCCCTGACCACCCATGTGGCCCTGTTGAGGATTGTTCCATGCACCAAAAGTCATAGGTTCGATTCCCACCTACAACGGGCTCGATCCCCATAGGGCAGTGGTCCGACCACTGCCATAGGGGGTTGCGGGAGGCAGCCAAACAATCTCTCTCTCTCCCAATCAATCAATCAATCAATCAATAAAAATATATTCTGCCCTGGCCAGTGTGGCTCAGTGGGTTGAGCATGCATCTGGTCAGGACACATACCCAGGTTGTGGGTTCAACCCCCGGTCGGGATGCTTGCAGGAGGCAACCAGTCGATGTTTATCTCTCTCTCCTCCCTTCCTCTCTCTCTAAAAAAATCAATAAGAACATTTTTTTAAAAATAAATAAAAACATACCCTCGGGTGAGGATTAAAAGAGAACTAAAAAATATAATTCTGATGCATATGCAATTTTGTATCTCAGTGTATGACAAACATTTCCCAATTCATTCAATATTCTTCAAAAACATGTTTTTTTAATAGCTATGCAGTATTACATCAAACACGCACACCATTAACCATTTCCTCATTGTGAATACTTAGGTTTTTTTTCTTCCTTCCTTCCTTTTCCTTTTTTTTATTTGTAATTTTTTTGCCAACATAGAGGCACTGGTGAGCCTTTGGTAAACATCCTTCACACACATCTTTGTCCAGGTTACTGATTCTTTCAAATAAGTTTCTAGAACTGAAGTTGCAGAACTGAAGGGTATAAACTTTTAAGCTTTTTCTTTTATAAAATAAGCAAAGACATAGCTTTCTTTTGTTTTTATTGATTTCTGAGAGGAATAGAGAGAGAGAGAGAGAAACATCAATGATGAGAGAGAATCATCCATCGGCTGCATCAAGCCCGCCACCTGGGCATGTGCCCTGACGGGGAATCGAACCGTGACCTCCTGGTTCATAGGTCGATGCTCAACCACTGAGCCACCCTGGCCAGGCCTCTTACGCTTTTCTTGATCGCTAATATGAAATTGTATTCCAGGCTCTTTTCTTTTTAAACATATTTTATTGATTTTTTTACAGAGAGGAATAGAGAGTTAGAAACATTGATCAGCTGCCTCCTGCACACCTCCTACTAAGAATGTGCCCGCAACCAAGGTACATGCCCTTGGCTGGAATCGAACCTGGGACCCTTCAGTCCGCAGGCCGACGCTCTATCCACTGAGCCACACCGGTCAGGGCTGTATTCCAGGCTTTATACCAATGAGCTCTCCCACAGCAATAGAGTTCATCATTGTGGCTCTTACGTATTTATTGGTTTTGAACTGGGGAAGCTGGCAGTTTCCTGTTTATGGTCGATGGCCTAGGTTTCTTGTGGCATATTTTTAGTCTTATATGTATGCAAATAAGGCTGATGAAGTTACTGGGAATAAAGCAATGCAAATATACACCCGTGGTCACAGGCGGGGTCATTAGAGGTAGACGATTTGATGCACCCTGTCATTACTCCTGGAAAAGTAACTTGCAAATGTGGGATGCCGACCACACGCAGATTTTTGCTTTTCTTTGGGTTTCCCCCTAAATCCTGGATGATTCCTACATTTTTCTTTTCTTTAAAATATACTTTTATTGTTTTTAGAGAAGAAGGGAGAGAGAGAGAGAGAGATAGAAACATCAGTGATGAGAGAGAATCATTGGTCGGC